AACAGCGCCCCATGAGCAGGCTTGGGATTAGTTTGCCTTGCTCAAGGGCACTGCGGCAGTGCACAGGAGGTGAAACAGGGACTGACATACCATGCAAAGGTGAAAGGCTTGCTTACAGTTATATGATATGTTGTTAATAAGCATCTGTGATATTTGTGGATGAACAGATTTTTCAATAATAACAGCTTGCCTTCTAATCATACAAATAAATTAGCTGACTCACCTGTCTTTGTCTAAACAGCTGATTTGATTTGAGCTCCCTGGGTTCATCAAAGATATTTGAGATGGAGTTCAGAGCTGTTTATAGACAAGAAGAGAAGGATTTCTGGGAAAAGAAAAAAAACAGGCTGTATGCAATCCAGCTCATCTTGGCTTAGCCTGTCTCGTTGTTTGAGGAAAAATGTTTCTAATTGGAAGGAACCCACTAAGTAAGTCAGTGACTATTGCCCTGGTCTAGTTTCACTTGTCCCCATTTTAAGCATAAGCTCTCATTCACTTAAAACCTGCTTTAATCCTCAACCCAATCATAAGAAGATTCATACAGCATTTGCAGTTTTGGATCTTAACCTTGGGAATAATTTACCTCACTGTGGCTGAATCTTTAACTGATTCAGAATTACACTTCATAAAACACCTTTTATAACCTGTGTTTTATTGTATGTTGTTGATTTTATTGTGCTAATTACTGTTTTCTACTGTTTTCTTCTGTTTGAGTTGATGTTTTATTGGATTGCTACACAAATTAAGCTTATCTTCCTGTATAATGTAATAAGATCAGGTTAACATCGGCCACTGTATGTTAGGCCCCACCAGAAGATTTCACAATGTTTTAATTCTAAATGGTGAATTCAGACAATGTTGTTGGTGAAAGATTTGGGTTTTTTTGTGTTGAAGGAACCAGTATGTAGGATTTAACAGCATCTTAGCCTTGTAATGACAGATTACAGCCCCCTCAACTCACCCTCCCGTTCCAAGTGTTTACTAGAAACTTCATTGGCTGCAACTGAAATTACAAGTGTGTTGGAGAAATTTTGGTGGCTGCAAAACATGCAGAAGATGCCTCAGGCCCTGTTTAGAGCCAGGGTTTGTCCATTCTGGGCTGCTGTAGATACATGGCACCTCTATGGAAGAGGACCCACTCCCCCTTGTAGATAAAAACGGCTCATTCTGAGGTAACGATAACACATTCATTCTTAGGTAATTATACAATAATGAAAACCTACCCATGAATAT